GGCACATATAACATATAAGAAAATAAAACCAATATAAATGCCAGTGTTCCGACTCTGAAAAATTTGTAACCACTGGGGGAAGTGACCACGGACGTGATATATCCACACCAACACTCGCCCCCGCAATAGCATCTTCTGGTGGATTAATTTCTGCGATGTTCAATATGAGCAAAGTTTTAGAACACTACAGTATTTGGAAATTTATCAAAAACTTCGGAAGTTAATAACCTCTGCTTTGGCGACGTGATGTCCGTGAAGTCCGTGAAGCCATAAGAACAGACAAATGAAACACAGGATATGACAGGACACTTAGTATTTGGCAAACCCATTTCAGTAACAATCACAGGTTGTACAATTACACCATGCCATAGTACTCAACTCTCAATAACTGTAATTGGTTGTATTAATTACTATAATCAACCAAAGTAATTTTGAAAGTCAATTAATCAACTTAATGTTTTCGACAAAATATTACAGTATAACTATAAAATCCTAATTTTACGACAGCTGATATTATTATATAATAACCAAAATTAACATTAGGATATACAATATATTAATATAGCATAATATTATCTGCACTGATACAAAACAATAATTATTGCAAGTCAATAAGAATATGTTTTATCATATTAAAGCTATAATCAAGGCATTATATGACGCTAATTGAGTAATGTTGTATAATTTTTTTTTGATCCATATTAATTAAGTTTTAATAAGTTTTATTTAATTTCAATAGCATCAGTCAAGGTTTAAAAAAAGTGGGGAATAATTTCGCCCGTACATTGTGAGTTCTGACTCATTGAACGAGTTGATTAAACTTTCGATTTCTCATTTTTCCATAGATCAGTGCAGTTCACTAAGAATCTCTGAGGTGCGAACTATATTGAGAGCCCTTCGTAATTTCAAACGGTATATAGCGCCCTGATTCTGCATTCTGTAATAAACTGGGAGAGATCTAGACAGAGAATCAATATAGAGCAATATAGGTTATAAGCGGAAGATATTGCTCTTCTCTCCGTGCAGGGTATATTTAGTTCCTTTAGAAAAAAACACGAGAACGTTTTTTTTATTTTAACATTTCACATATTTGAGACCGTCGATGATTACAATACATTTGCAAATGAGTGCTTTATATATATTACATTGCTTATTTGACATAACCCCCTACCAAGTAATACCACGGGACCTATAATATTTGTTTGAAAAAACTAATTACGTAAAAAGAAGTAATCTGACTGAATGATTACGCGGCGTAGCTGAAAAAAAACCTTGTTTTGAGTTTCCTACAATGTCTCGGACAACAAACTTGATCATCTCTGTGTCAAAAAATATGACCATAAGAAACAATTGAATAATTAAATGGCACAACTGATAAAAAATTCCTTATTTTGAGTCAATAAATACATTATCATCTTTGAGTCTCTAATATTTCATTAAACTAGCAACAATCATCCACACCACCGTCCCATGGGCAAAGCCTAAAAGATCAAAATCACAAACAAAAAAAGTCAGAATATACATACTATCATTAAGAACAATGAATAAAAGTTTACAGTTGTATGTAACTACGACTCCGACATGATTTTAATTAAATGCCTACACATTGTAAATATCTGACTGACTAATAACTCTCAATATGGGCCACGAAGGGCTTTCGATCCTTCAACTTACACCTATTGACAACGTACCTTGATACGAACAACAAAGCCAAATACTCGGTGATATAATCACTTAATCTAATTTCAAAGTCGGTTTTCTTCTAAGTCACTTAAGATCAATAAAAATTATCAATAAAGTTTACATTTATAGAAGCTTTATTCAACAAGTTATTTACCTTACGTCTTCATTTTTGCACTGCGCTAATACTAAATATCCGAACCACCATCTTTGGTCAAGGCCTGAAAAATAATATAAGTTTGTGTCATTATCGTCAAGCATAAGAAATAACATTCGTAATTGTATGTAACTGTCGACGCGCCTTCAATGTTTGTGTTGTTTTCACCACAAACCCGGAAAAATTCTTTCAGCAATAGTGTTCGAATGTTAGCAGCATGTCAGGTCTACGCACTTGAAAGGTAACTTTTACGAGTAGTGTTCACAACGAGCTTTCTATCTCCTACTCCCACCTAGTGGCCTTGTAACTTCAAATACTCTGCATCATTTCCGGTGAAGGCTTTTCTTTAGTGTACTTTCACCTAGCAAATATTTCGCGTAAAGTTCTATTAAATAGTTCAACAAATCTATTAGTTTAAGGGTTATATGAAAAATCCGAACGCTTCCCCACATACAAAGTCCCAAAAAATATGACTTATAAAAAATATATAAACAATAAAACAACGTTTGCGAACAGATATTTCGTCAGTTGATTATAAAATAAATGACTTGCAAAGTTGATTACTATATTTACAACAGTTCTTTCCCTCCTTTTGAATCAATAGTATTAGATTACGTAATTGAATTACTTCAACAGCATTTATAATAATTGGTAAAAGTATAAGAGCATGCAACTAGTTAGAAAGAGAGTTTTCCACATGACGCGTAGGCAAACATAGTGCAACGTAGAAATTGTGTTGACGTGAGATCACGTAATGATCCCGAAAAAGTAGACCAGGTTTACTCGACCCACCTTTTCAAGTTGTATGTATCATGTATGAAACATTAAGACACGACTCAGATGAGAAAAATCAACTTGCCGTGTGAAATAAAATCTGTGTACATATCCTTTTATTGATTGCAATTTGATACGCCCATTATGAAAATTGACATTTGGAACGTGCATGTTTCCTTTTAAAGTTATATAATCAGTCGGTTTAACCAATCAAATATTTAATAATCGTCGCTTTTCCCTATTTAACCCTAAATTTCAAAGACAAGAACGAAGAGAAATAAGAATTAGATGATTATCACTGAGTATTTTGTTAAATTACTTTGTATCGGAATTATGTTGTAACTAGGTATAAATTGGAGGATTATTGCTCTTTGTGACCACAGCTCGTGAGAATCAGGTATTTGGTGACTTACTAGCTTTTAATTAAAAGGAAACAAACTAGGCTCTAGATACAGACTATTATTACGTAATAATCCATAATCAATATCAATTATATGTTTAGGGCAATTACAAATACTGAGATGGGAATGCGTTCAGATTTTTTATGTCATATTGAAGATTCGTTGAACGTTTTACGTGAGTCACTTGCAAAGAGAAGAATCACCAAGTAAATAAAATTTCGAAATTGTATTTGTCGGAAATGACGTGGAGTCCTGGATAATTACTGAATATTTGTTAAGTCATATGTATCCAAAGTTATGCGACACTAATGTAAGCCAGAGGATCAAAAGTGCTTTGTGATCATGACTTGTGAATGTTATTATTCTAGTTTTAGATAAAAATGGGGATTGCTTGTTGTAAATATTCAAAAATCTATTATTAAGTTATAAAAGAAATTATAATAGATGAAGCTCTTGGTTTGTGATGAATATAATATATGAACAAGAATTGAAAGCAGTTTATAGCCACATTCTTTACTATGTCTTGCCTGATTTTACTGGCATTTATCCTTGAAATACTGTCATTCTAGAGTAATATCTGCATTATTAATTTAATTGTTATTTAGCATTGTGGTTTTTATACTATTATTGCTTTAGAATATTTCCTATTTATTTATTTCTTTTTACTTTCTTATATTTGCCAAAATATTTTTTTATGCTAACATACAGTATACAGATAACTGTTTTGATAAACATAACATTTTATTTATATCTGATAATTTCTATAACTTATTTATATCATGTATGAAAATATTATATCTCAAATATATATATATAGAAATCGAAAGATTGACTTTCATTTTATTAAATAAATATTTTGACTTTACAAAATAAATTACCATTGCTTTTTTTGCTTAACTTTATAGACCTCAGAACTGTTTAATTTTATGTACCCTTAGGAACTTTAGCATGTCACATAGGTTCTTCTAAATAAAATATCATCTGCTACTAATCTTTATCCATATCTTTTTCCTAAAATAGAAACAATATATAATACTAGATAATTATATCACTATACATTTGATGAATTATTTATATTTGAGTTATACTACCATTAAATATAAATAAGAAGTTTAAATTTCTTTATTATTCCAAATAGTAGCTAAATATTTAGATTTGACATATAAATTATTTATTTTAAATAAAGTTCTTAATCATTAATAAAATAATAATAAAATAATATGGATATTTAATAATTTAAATATATGTATTATAGTTTATTTTATTAAACTAGATAATAGATTTGATATTAAAATAGTATTTCAAATAGTATTATTAAAAACTCTAGTTGTAAATATTCAAAAATCTATTATCAAAAGAATTGCAATAATTAAAATACTTAATTTGTAATAATACAATAATAAACAAAAATTGTAAATACTTTATAATTATAATTATATATAATTACAAAAGTTTATCATTGTTTTTAATACTAAAAAACCAAAACTTATCTATATTTAAAATATTAATAAAAATATATTTGTTTTTTTTAATGTTAAGTAAAGTATTTCTCGTGATTTTTATTAATATAGTAATTGAACTATTACATGATTAATATTAAGATACTAAGATACATCATTATATATGTCAGCCTACCACCATTCTAAGTATATTTCTGTTAAAAAAACCTTAAGGCAAAGAAAAGAGAAAGTAACTACTTAGTTTGGGGGCTAATGCCTCTCTAATAATTTATTTTATCCTGTACAGGCATGGATAAGTTTTGGAAAAATAATTGAAGAATGATATTAGTTATTTGTCATTTTGATTTGTGTTATTGGATGTGGAATTGCTCAGAATTGTTTGTTGTTATTGTTGGGGTTGGTGTTTTTTGTTTTTTTGTGTGTTGTGGGATTTGTTGTTATTGTTATTGTTGGTATTGTTGTTGTTGTTGTTTTTTTTGTATTTGGTATTTTGTGATGTGTCTAGAAATTTTTCTTCTGTGATCATCTCCTGGTTTCTAGGTATCCATATTTGTGTGTATAGTAGTTCAAGTGTTTTGTTTTGGATTTCATTAATGTTTTGAGATCAGTTTGTGTTGGTTTAAGATTTTTGAAGATCGTATTTGGTTGTAAAATACCCATTGCAAAGTTAACAGTGTTAATGTTGGTGTTTAGTAGTTTTTGAATTTGTTTTTCGTCAAAATTTTTGTTGTTTTTGAATTTTTTTTCCAATAGTGTTTGCATGTCATTGGTTATTTTTTTGAGTGTTGTTAAGCTCTCT